TCCTGGTACCTATAAAAATGCTACCAGTCATAATTCAAGTGTACATTAGAAGATTAAAGACTGTAACCAACCACTTTTCATATTAAACTCCTGCCTGGCTATTTCAGAAAGCAGTCATTGCAATGGGAACGTTAGTATTTCAAATGGGATAGTACAATGCAAAAGATATAAAAAGCAGCAGAACCAAAGCTTATCTCAGAGTGCAGCAGAACTTGGACATCCCTTTGTGTACTATTCAGAACAAAACAGCTGCTTCAGGCACGGAGCTCTGATAGGAAAGCATTAGGTCAATGCAGAAGGGGTTTAATTTGGGTAGGATGGGTTGCAAAGAGAAACTCACAACACACTGTATTTGTTTTTCTTTTCCCTTGCTTAAACTTCTACCACGATGGACTGCTTACTGCTTACTCAGCAGAACGATGAAAAGAAAATGGGTTTAAGCAATCTCAAACTAGAGAGTAGGACTGAGTGGCTTAGAACATCTTTTTCCTTCTGTTCACCATTCCATTGTATTTCCTAGTTGAGATTTCACAGTGCTATCATAGAAGCAGTCTTATAATACCCTATGAGGAAGCAGCTGAAGGAGAAGAAAGCACTTCAGCAATGTCCTCTGAGAAGAACAAGAAAGAATAAATCCCACCTAGAAAAAAAAGGCCAGCAAATGCTATGGGATATTGCCAAGTTATTTTGGCATTACACAAACTAGTTCCAAAAAAGTCTTTTTAACTGGATTAGCCTGTGTTGTCCTTTAAAGGACAGGCATCCATTACAGTCTGTAGAAAAACTCAGCCCACAAATCTGAAAACCCCATAAACTTGGAATTTTATAGCAGCTGAAGTTCCAATAACTTTAATGTCTAACATCAGAACCAATTTCATCATAAAAATGGGGTAAAAGCTACCGAACAGCACCGACTCTTTTTACATAGTAGAAAAATAAGAACAAATCTTCAAGAAGACGTGGCACATAAATCCATGGCTCTGCAAGAAGATGGATTAATAGCGTGAGCAGCACAAGAGAGCAGAATAAAGGAGGTGATTGAAAATGAAAAAAGAGAGGAAGGAAACCACAAAGACAAAATGCCCTTATTTAAATTCCTTGGATCCAATAATAAATAGTGCATGACAGTTTGTCAATACATGTGAGAAATTCACCCAAAGGAGGAGTCATGTTAGGACTTCCGATGTGCCCACGAGCAAGAGTGGAGGGCAGACATAATTCCAGATTTCTCATATGTTTCAAAGTGTTTCCACACCAAACAGGCAGGTACTCTGCAGGTGGTAATTTCATCATCAATTAACTGTTCAGTTCTGCCAATTCATTTGGCTGAGAATCAGTAGCAAGCCTTCAAGATTCTCCTAATGCTGAGGGATGTTTCTCAGTGCAGTGCTTGGCAGGAGATGTCTGCCAGCTGTCCTCCAGGCAGTGCTCTGTGTTACTGCAGACACTGGGTTGGAAAAGGGATGGGAATGTTCAGGCTGGATGGGGCTGTGAGCAACCTGGTCCAGAGGGAGGTGTCCCAGCCAACAGCAGGGGGTTGGAATGAGATGATCTTAAGGGTTTCTTCCAACCCAAACCATTCTATGGTTATACAAAACTCAACACCACAACAGCATGGATTGCAGAGTGCAGCTCTCCATGCAGCCATACATTCACCATTTGAAAGAACAAACCAAAGAAACCCACACAGAGAGCCAGCACCGTGGTTTGGAAAGGCCACGCTGTTTCAGCTGCTCAATGTCACTTAATTAAAATTGTGTGCTTGGGTACAATCTTTAAATCACTTTTCTAATTAGGAAATGCACTCTGGCCTATGTCATTAACTGTGCATCGTCAGCAGGGTACCAAAACAGCTTTGAGGCTAAGGGCACTAAAGATTAGTTTCATTATTCAGCAATGGCCTCTCAATCAGAACAGAAGTTCTTCTCAAAAACATTCAGTGAATCAAAGAAAAGGGTCCAGGAATCAGTTCTCAGTACTGAACAGCACCTAGAGTGCTGGATTAATCTAATTACATTGCCCTTGCTTTTTCCTAGCAAGCTATTTAACAAAATGCATGGCAGTGATAAAAGAGTTGACTCTCACTTCCACTACAGAAGATAATTAAGATTTGTTTGGTGGAACAAAAGACAAATACAACTGAAAAAAAAAAAAATCAACACAATTTCCAGTGTGTTTAACAGCTCAAGAGGCTGCATATTGAAACAGATTAAATGCAATTATCCTTGTTATTTTTCCTCTGTTGATTCTGAAAACGATACAGAGATGATAATCTCAAAGACAGCATGCAGCATCCGTTTGGGGCAAACTGCTTATGTTCAAGCTTGTAATAAGGAACCCACTGTTCTGCTTCATGACCTTGGAGGAAACACTACCTGAAAAGCAGACCAAGACTGTGGGAGATGCCATGGTTGTTCCAGGTTGGCAAGAGACTAATCACTGGATTGCTGCCCACAAGGAGACATTTGGAGCCACATCCTTTAAATATTCTATATGTTTTAGATACTCCAGCCTTCTCTTCTTGCTCTCCATGCTACTTTTCTCTTTCTTTTTTTCTTCTTCTTTTTTTTTGGTATTCCCAAACACTCCCTAGGGGAAAGATCTAACAGACTAATATAGGAGCAGTGAATTGAGATAACTTGAGGGTCCTTCCAGAATTAGGATCAAGCTATAGAGCCAGACTTGAGAGACGAACTCCATGCTGATTGCAGCCAACATGATGCATTTTAAAGATGCTTTAAGCACAGGTAACTTTATCACTTGAGATCATAGTAAGAAACAATCCACCTCAGGCCTCCAGTCAGGGCAAGAACATTCCAAATGCAGAAGACTAAATGGTATTTTAACATCAAGCACATGTGAATTAAAGATGTTGCCAGTTCTGATGCTTGCTAATACATGCCACATATAACAAGTGACAGAAGTAGGTATAAAATCCACATCTTTTTGTCACAGCCCTTTACACACTAATTCTAGACAACGTTGAAGTATTGCTGACTGCTTATCCTCATGGATGAAAAGCCAAAGTGTATGGGTGGATTATCTAGGTGTCTCCCAGAAGGAATGAGCAAAGGTAAAAGAAAAGTGCTCTTCAGATTCTAATCACAGGAATACTCCTGAATGACAAAGGCTTTTCCCTCATCTTATTATCTTTTAATAAAAACTCTCCCAAGAGCTGTAAGCCAAGTCATTACTAACTTCTGTGCATGAATTTATAAGCAGTTCCAGGTACTCATATTCAAAACATTTCTACTTTTGGTATTAAGTCTCAACGACATTTGAACAGAAGGGAAAAAAAAAAATCAGATTTTAGGTTTCATTTCAAGATTAGGATTTAATAGAGGCCTTTTTTTTTTGGCAAAAGATACGGGGAAAAACTAGAGCATTATTAAACAAGATGTGAAAACATTAAGCTAACTACAGGTTAGAGATGTGGAATAGCATCTACAGAGATAGCTTACAAAAGGGGAGATTAATGGGAAATTGGTTGGCAGTAATTAACAAGTAAGTTAAAATAAAGGTTTACTTTCTTCTCAGGCAAAAATGCAGCAAAAATATTTGATCCTTCTGAACAAACTACAGTATGCTTTTCCTTTGTCCAAGAAGCAATGGAAATTACTACATTTTACCCATCCTGCCAAAAGGTTTGAAGCCTGGGGTGAGGCGCTCTGTACTTCGTGCTGTGCAGAGACAGACCAAGCAGAAGAGGAGCTATAAAGTTACCATACCTTATTTCCAGCCTAAGTACAGCTCACAGCATTTTACTACAACTCAATGCAAGTATGAATATTGAGGGCCAATTATTTAAGGTTTGTTGGCTGCTTGGTTGTTCGTTTGTTTTCAAATCAATAGGCACATAGAGACATGGCCAGAGCAAAAAGTGCAGCCACAGGCAGACACAAGGAATGTGCACAGCTCCTCCTTATTTCTACCAGGAACAAGAGTGAGTTGTGTTGACAACATAAGTAATGATCTGCATTAGGAAAAGACAAGAAGTGAAAGCACTGGTTCACTCAAACAAAGACAGCACAGCCACCAATACTAAGGCCCAAGGGGAGATCATTCACTGAAATCTCTCTTTTCAATGAAAACAGAAAACGTACTGAGTAAAGGCTGCTAAAAGAAAACCCAACATCAGTAAAACATGAACCTGCAGAAGCTGAATGAAAGGCTGGCTGGAAGTGCTGCAGTCCAATAAATACCCAAAGGAAAGGAAAACATCAAGCAAGATGAGATAGAGATGTGTATTTTCTACTGAGAATCACACTGAGCTGATACAACTCAGCAGATCAACACAGAAAGAGAAGTTCTATGAACAAGAAGTCTCTGTGAGAGGATTCCTTACTTAACTCATCTTTTCAGTGATACTTTTGCTATGCTTTCATTGAAGACAAGAACTATGAAAAAACGAAGTCTTGCTGCTAACAAACCCTTACACATCAGTCATTGGCTGACAATAAAAATAAGTGTTTAAGAACTCTTAGCACATACAGTAAACATAGCAAATGGAAGATGAGGAATACTGAAAATATTCTTCACAATCAATCTTTCACACAGAGGGTGCTGATACACTGGAACAGGTTGCCCAAGGAGGCTGTGGATGCCCCATCCCTGCAGGCATTCGAGGCCAGGCTGGATGTGGCTCTGGGCAGCCTGGTCTGCTGGTTGGCGACCTGCACACAGCAGGGGGTTGGAAATGGATGAGCATTGTGGTCCTTTTCAACTCAGGCCATTCTATGATTCTATGATCAAAAAACGACATTTGAAAGAATCAAGGAAAGTGAGACTGGAAAGAGGCATCATTACACTGGTTTAACTTCAGCAACTGAAAAAGCAAAGGTGTATCATGTTTGTCTGAGAGCTGTCACTACTGCACGTCAGTGAAATGCCAGTCATTCAAAGCTGGTTCTACAACAAGTAACCGGTACTGCACATTTACTGTTATATAGCCAAGGACTAGAGAACACAGAGTCTTCCTGAGTATTTCTAAGCTGTTTTACCTCAAACATCTCCTGCTCAGTCCGATGTTGATCGTCCAGGAGCTGCTCCAGGTAGGTTAGGTTATGGAATTTTTCTAGGTAGCTAGTGTATTGCTTCTGCAGTTGCTCTTCGATCTTCTCATATTCATCCATAAAAGCAGGACTGGAGACAACAAGAACAAACTACTCAGAGAAATACAGACCTGTACAGGAAGAGTTCTGAAACAGCATTCTCATTTTCACAGCTATTTTTCCATGTCTACAAAACCAATCTAAAAGGACCTTCTCTTCTTAAGGTTACACACTACTTCAAGACTAAAAGAGGAAGGAATATTAACCTATCCTGTGAAAATTTTACATGGCAAATGAAAGGTCAATGTGTATCTACCACCACTTCCTTCCAAACACATCATCCTCCTTTCCAGAACTCCAATAAGTGTGCTTGTCATGTGGCTGGGAAGCCAACTTCTTTACTGGAGACATATCTGCAACAGCTATGCTGTGTCATTAGAAGCATAACTAGTGCTGGTTCTGATGACATCCTTTATCACAGCACCTAAGCTGTGCCCCACAGAATGCTTCTGCTGTTTGATGATACCCACCTACCCAACATACTTCCACTGAAGTGTTACAGATCAAAACATGAGTATGAATCCACTGTAATTCTTTCCATCACTCATTTTTCTCTTATTTATATATATTATTTTTTTTTCCCACTCAGAAACAGAGAACAATCTTTTACATTTAACCAAAGGGGTGTGAAATCAACCCAAATAGTGAATCTGAACATTTTGATTTTATGGCAGGCTGTGTCATTGCCCAGAGGAACATATCCCAACAAGGAACACCAAGTTACCTTGGTGGCTGGGAATGCTAGAAGCCTCTGGGAACAGGGAATATGTCATTTTCAGCAGAACCACCTGGCACAATTTATGCTCAAAGACAACATAAAAACGAAATGCTACCTGGCCATTGTGTGCAGTTCAAGCAGCATGTTGCCCACCAAATAATACCCTGGGGATTTTTAACAGCCCTGATAATCTGATTTTAAATACAAAGAAACTGAAAAAAAAATAAATTACAATCTAGATTAAGCACCACAAATGACAAAAATCTTTTCCATGTGTCATCATCTCGGTCTCATTACAGACTTCACTCCTCGCTGCTTTAAGCACTGAGAATGCACAGTACCATCACTCATGCTAGTGCTCATTTATGCAGTAGATAATCAGTTTATAACCTTTACCGAACGCTCTGTAGGGTCTGCAGCCTCTTCTGGCTTCTTTCCAGCTCCAATTTCCTTTTTTCAATTTTGGCTTCCAAATTGGCTTCGTCCAAAGCCACATTACTCAACATGTCCTTAGTCTTCTGGACCTCTTCCTAAAAGAGAAGGATGGTGAACCAAGGTCTGCACTGGAATAAGTTGAAGTATCTTTCAGACACTGACCTGTATTCTCTGTTGCATGCTTTCAAATAACTTTATAACAATGAGCTAAAAGATAAACCAGCAAAGCAATGACAATTTTTTTTTTTTTTTTTTGTGGCCAGGATAATGAACTACCTGAACATTTACTGATTAGAATACCTGCTTTTTTCTCCAAACATTCTTAAAGAAAGAAAAAAAACAACACCCACAAACACAGCTGTCCTGGGCTTTAACTTTTTCCTTTTCATCAAAAAAGGAAGGAATGATGCCCTCCTCACAAAATCTGACAGGACACAAAGTCATCTCTCAACACATAAGCATCTGAATAAACAGGGAAGAGAAATGCATTTATTTCTTGGTACCATTTTAATGAGTTTTTAGGATTCTGTCAACGTTTTTTTTTTCCTTCCTGATAAAAGTCACTTTAAAAAAAGAAGTCAGTCTATCCCATTGCCTTCACCATTCCCTGAGTCCTGCTGTATCTATCTTTTCAAAAGCCAGGAAGCATCCCAAACATTGTAACACATTGCAGGAACAAGGAGGGGAAAGTGGGAATATTTCAGCCTGTTTAAACAAATGAGTATGTTCAATGTGCTCATGCTCTAGAAACTGTGATGAGTGAGGGGGACAGAGGACTTCACGTTTGCTGAAGCTTTAGCAGTATTTGCTATGTGCTGTTCAGCTACAATAGGTCATTTCAGTGACTGGTCCAGAACTAAACCAGCTGAGGTATGTGCTAAATTGATATTCTCAAGAAGCCAATTGCTCTAATATTTTCCTGTTAGTTTATTAGCACTACTGCCTAGAATATCAATGCACATTAACAACATTTAGAGTTCATATGGACTGCAAGTAGGAAGAGAAATATAAGGAAAGATTGCCTGAAGCATCTATTGATTATGCAATGGCTTTTTAAACCTGGAACTCCATGCCTTGTAATTACAGAACTGGATCGGATACAGTTTGCAGCTAAATAACTTGCAGTATTCACTAGGATTTAATTAACTACCATACTTGCACAGTGCCTATCAGGGCAGCTACTGGTTCAGAGATACAGAGCCCAAGCACTGGAGCAAGAACAGCACTCCAGAAATGAGGACAGATGAGGACCAAGGCACCCCTGAAATTAGAAGCACAATGATGCCCAGGCATGCCCCAATCAGCACAGTGCCTGCTCTTCTCATCCCCTTCCCAGTTCAGCTATTCTGCTTACAGAGCCCAGCTTCACAGCTCCAGGGGTACCAACACATTCTGAGTTCCAAGTATATCCCTTGTAGCTGTGATTCTAATATTCACGTGGTTTAAACAACGATGTCAATTCCTGTGCTGATGAAGTCAATCATTCCTCTAGAGCTTCTGAAGCTATTGCTGAGCCCCTAACAGAGACAGGAAACATGACTGAAATGCAGGAGGGGGCTTTCTTTTTCTCCTAAAAGAGAAGCCAAGGGAAGCTGTCCTTCAGTGCAGCTGTGATGACTGCAACACCAAGCGTTTGTCAGCAAAGTCACTTCAACTGGAGGAACGTATCAACACGTGAAACCAACACAGCCATAGAGTGCAACAAGCTAGCAGCAGGGCTGTTCCAAGCACGTTCCCCTAGGTGCTGCTAACATAGCACATCTGTGCTGCTGTAGGCTGTGATTTCTGAATGCCAGTTCACGATCCTCACTGTGCAGACACCTCTACCACTCAGCCAAGAAAACCTATCAGTTACATTTAACAGGCTTGTTCAATTTGAACACAACTGATTTACCAGTAAACCACCAAGATCATCAGTGACTCCTCATTACCATGACACAAAGCATCATCACATACCAATCTTTGCCTTGATTAATTTGTGTTTACACATCTAGTGTCACCTAAAGACCAATACCCACATTAGCCATGAACTGAAGTTCCACATTACCTGTTAACTACCCAGGTGGAACATTACTTGGCCCAGCAGAAGAGAGGAAGAATGATTCAGCAATAAAATAAATATCAATTTGCTTACCAGAACACAGTCAATGGCAACTTTCATCATCTTCTCAGCTTCGTTTATCTCCAAAGGTCTGGCAATAGATTCTGTTCTTGCTTCCTATGAAACAAAAATACATGCATAGATTTAAACACGACACCAAGAAATTAATATTTGCAGAGCAGAGGACAGCCAAACAACAATAACTCAATCATCTACTAAATAAATGGTGCAGAACTCATTTATGCTCCCAGGCTCAAACAACTAAAAGAATGGGAGGTTGTGAAAGGGTCAGTTAAGTGAGGCTGGGGTCAAGCAATTAAGGTAACTTTTCAAAACAAGCTATGTTAGCATTTCAATTGCAACCATTATTGAATGTACATTGTGTGGAAAATGCACTGGTTATCAGGTATTAAACAAAACATGCTATAAAACAAGATATCCTCATTTTTACAACACAGCTAACATAGGCAGCTGAATACAATGCCACACATCTGCAGAGACAGAAGCAGAATGAACCCATTGAACCAAGCCAGGCCAGTCAGCCTCTAGGTGCTTCCTACATCCACATGAAAATGAGGTGATGCAGATGTATGGGTTGCTCCAATTCTGGTCCCAAGTGATACAATCTCCTCATCAAAACAGCACTTCTTGTTTATAGCCCAAAGGAGGGAAAAAAGACCAACCACCCCAAAACAAATGCCCACAGCAGTTCCGGGGACAGGTGGGCTTAGTACTCACCATGCCCTCATCTCTACCATGTCTTACATCAACCTGGCTGAAATGAAAACATTTGACTGGTTGCTGATTTAGGAGAAAAGGTGGGAGGTTTTTCCAGCTAGAAGTCCTTAAAATCATCTGATGTTGGCAAACCATTTGGTTACAGGTGGATCAAGATGGAAATAGCACCTCTATAGAGAACGTCTGATTAAGAAGCTGGAATTGTCCATATAAGATTGATGGGTCTTCTTCTACTTTCCCTCCACCTCCCTTGGAATTTCCATGCACAGACCACAGCCTTCTTGGAGAAATCCACACCGGTTTCCAGCAGGAGGCTCAGCCCTGCAGTCACACCTGCTTGCATTGCCAGGCAAATGAAGGGTGCTGCTAAGGTAGAAATCCTTCCTTCCAGACCTGACTGCTGAACCAGGCTCAACCAAACTGAGAGGAGGATGCAGGCAGACCACGGCAGCTTCCCACACATACAAACATCCATGAAATAAATGGAGGGAGCTGTATCAGCTTCCCTGCGTGTCACTGGGACACGTCCTGCAGCTCTATGAGAACTCTTGCAGTGTTCACATGCTCACAAATGGAAGAAAATGACTTCCAGGTAACAAACCTGCTCTGACACTCCTGACACTCTGTGACTCCCCACAGGAGGAAACCAGGCATGCTTTCCTACCAGCCCACCTTGTCACCATCACTACTTCTTTACCCTATAAGAAAAACACACTGACATGACAACTGGCACTTTTACAGCTTGTGCTCGTGGGTACAAACAGGCTGTACACTTAAAGCAACCCAACATTCTGATTTTGCCCAAACACAAGGGATGCACTGCATTGCTACCAGCTGTACTCACAATTCCAGCCACTCAAAAAAAAAAAAAAAAAAAAGTGTGCAAATGAAACCAAGCTGAAAAATAGGGATTTGTACATTTAAAGTAATGTACTCTTCACAATTAGGTGTACTAATCAGAATGCACACTATAATACGCAAGAGGTTTCCTTTAAATTAACCATTAAAAATAGAGTTCTCAGGAGAGGTGAAAAATATAGAAAAAATTATTGATGCCAGAGGAGCTACGAAGCAGAACAATTTAGGTCTAAGCCTGGTAATTACAACTTAGGAAAACAAACATATACAAAAGCAGAGAGGTATTCGTGGACAAACTGGCTGTTTACCACTTACTGGTGCTTCCTGTTCAAAGTGTTCAGAGAGCTCCCTGGCTATAGTTTTACATGATAAATACTAATTAAAAATCACGGAAGCCAAGTGTAAAATTATTTTTGATGAACCAAAGCTGACAATTATTAAAGAAAATGCACAAAAGCACATAAGAGATGACATTGGCTGGCACTTCTACCCACTCAGGATCAGCTATCTGGCACAGTGTGGAGCAGCTGAGATTTTAATTCTTCAAGTTTTGCATCTCGCTTTGGACGAAGCCAATTGGAAGCACTGCTGAATGAGCTGGCTGCCTCAAAAACTTGGTTTTCTTTGGAAATGAGAAGAAAGTTGGGAAGCTGCCTGCCCACCGGGCAAAGCCCAGAGCCCAGCCTGATGGGGCACTGCCTATGGGAAGCAGAGCTGACCCTGAACACGCTCTGCCCAATTTGCACCAGCCTGGGCATCATGAGTGAAGACAAATTCCCTTAAAGCAAACTGTACTGCAGTTGTTTCAGGGAACACCACTGACCCTGAAGCCTTCAAAACACCATCTGTGTGTAAATAAATTACTCACGTGTACATCCCTGCTGAACGCTGGTGCCCTGGCTCCCACACCAGCTAACTCACTCCCACTGCACCATGTCCCTGTTGGCACATCTCTCCTGGGTGCACCAAAGCCATCCCAAACTCACAGGCTGCCACCAAGTAGTGCCACCACACAGAAAAGCCAAATGCACTGACTAGGCACAGAAAGCACAGCCAAGACAACGATGCCATTCCTGCTAATGCACCCCACCACTGCCTTTTCCCCCTCTCTAGGCATTTTATATACGGTTAAAAATGAAGAGCTGCTACTACAAAAACAAGCCTAGCAATTATCCAGTGAAGCATTTCCAATCAGCTATGGTTTTCCATCACGGTGCTTCAGAAGCAGACAAACCAGGTCCTGGCATGCCTGATGAATGGGGAACAGGATGTACATCTTCTGAAGTGCAGTAAGGACTGAAGGCGAGTAATTAAGCACGACTAGCACACAAGTCACTCGTGATAAATGTTGTGTAATACATGTATATCTTGTGCAGGTCTAGCAGAGGTTTCTAAACATCTTTTTTTTGTCATAAGGAGCAGACATAAAAGCTTCCTTCCAACTACAAGTCTCTGCATGAAATGTTTCCTGACCCCAAGTTAAATCCTGCCTGGCAAGCTGCAAGACTGCTGCATACATAAATACCTCCTTACCACCACTTTCTGCTGCCTTCAGGAAGCATTATATCCCACATTCCCTCCAAATACAGGTTTTGTAACTGCTGCTATCTGTGCAGGTCATAAAACTCTACTTTTAGACCACTCACAATCCATTAACACGCAGTGTGAGCCCATTTGGCCCAAACAGAACGCATCATTAGGCGGAGCTTGTATGAACAGGAAGATAAGGGAGGGATGTTATAAGGTTCCTTCAGAAGGCCTTGATTATTTCTACTACCTAGCAGCCTATTTTCTTCCTCGGGAAATTAAAGCCCAAGCTAATTGAGGTTGCTGCTGTTTCCAGGCTCCCATGAAGCTGTGTCCCTGTATGCTCATCTCAGCAGTCCACAAACAGACCCACAGAGGCACCCCCTGCCTCCCCTTGGAGCAGGGGCCCCAAAGCAGGATGAGGCTAGTGATGCCTCTTCCAGCAAGAGGCCAATGAACACGCCTCCTTCAGCACAGCCAAAGCTGTGTCTGTTTCCCATTCCAGGTAGACGTGGCCTTAGGCAGCACAGACAGCTGGAAGTGTGCTTTGTGGTTTGTATAAAGGGATGAAAAGCAGAGTGCCCAAAAAGGCAGGCTGGCAGGCAGGCAAAAGTCTGCTCAGTCTCCTTTCAAAGTATTTCCTTTCCTTATTAGTTACAATAAAAGGAAGACTTCAGGAAGGTTTATGGTCTCCTCAGAAAGAAAAAGAAGCAGCAACAACAGAGCGTGTTCTTCAGCATCTTTCAGACCTTGTCAACATGCAAGGGCCCCAAGCAAAGCTGCAGTGAGGCAGGAACAGGCAGCAGCTGTGCAGCACAGCCACCCACAGACAGTTCAAACTCACAGCTCACACCAAGGCTGTGATTTCCCTAAGCACTGCCCCGCAGTGTGGGCTGTTGTTCTCAGCAAAGCTCGGCCATGGGGTGGCCACTGTGCTCAGGGACAGAGATATGGAGTGGCTCTCTGACACAGAAAAAAAGGCAATTTAAGTCAGTGCATTTTCCCCTTATGTAATGGAAGTTTTGACACAGCTATGTCTTGTGCCTAACAAAGGAAGGTTAGGAATAATGAGGAACTCAAACCTCACCAAGCATTCAGAACAGTGCTTTTGATTTAGCCCAATCATAAAGTGGAACTACTTGATGTCATGCAGGCTTAGCAAATTCTTTGACATACAAAAGATGGTTTGGATGCAATTTTCTTCCCAGCCACGCTAGAATGGTTTGTCAAAACCATCAGGCACTGAGCTACAGGCATTCAGATATCTCAACTAGTTGATAAAACCTTCCCTGCACCGAAACAACAGGTTCACAAGAACAAAGGTGCCACCTCTCTGCTTGCTAATGATGCTAAGCCAGATACAAATGGGAAGTTCATTAGAAAATCCTTTGTTATGTAAACCACGTAACCAAAAATGCTATGTCCACATCATATATACTCATGGCAATGGTTAAAGCAATCCAAAGTGTAGGGCAGTCTCCACTCAACTTCTCTGTACAACTGCAAGGTTTCATTTTGGCTTCTCCCTTCGCATTCATCCTCTTTGCTCACAAAGAGTTAAGCTGGGGTTTGGTCTGAAGCAGCAGTTGGAAAAACCAACCTGATGACCAGTAAGCTAGGTCATTCTCCAAAGCTCTGGACATTTCAAGTCACCAATTTCCACTAGAAATCACTTTACCTCTGAGATGTGCGTGGCAACTTTGCAGCCAAAGCACAGGAAATGAGAGAAATTAGTTTACCCACTTCCCCCAGGCAGCACCAGGTGCCCAGAAGGAACATTTGGCAGATGGAAAATGCTTTCAGTACTAAAACAAAACAATTTTTTGTAGTTAACTTTCATAGAGGACCAAAGGGAGCAGCTGCCATTCAGTGAGAGCCACCTCTCTCCTTACAGAGGCAGGCAGCACACAGCACCGAGTGGGGAGAGTGCTTAGGTGGCACCTCTTTTCATTTAACTAATGCCATCTCAGTGCCACAGCCAGATCTAAATGCCT